AAAATGCTTCCGCATCAAACTATGTTGTAACTTTTAGATGGATCAGTCAGAAAGAAGAAAACAGGAAGAGGTAAACCTCTACCTTTAGAAAGGAAAATTTCAACAGACTAAACTGCTGGTTTTAGGTAGATCATTTAACAGGATACAAAACATTTTCCTTTTAAAAATCTCAAGAGAAAAGGTCAGTCGAAAAAAAAGGTAGAATTTCATTACTTAATAACTAGTTGAAATCACAAATGTCGTACAGAGGTCGATTTTGTTCTCCACTCAGTAGCTAAGCTTCGTCTATATCATGAAGTTCAGGGATCAGGAATGTTTATATGCTTAGCCGGGAATATCAACATAGGCGATAATTACTTTTCTGAGATCCAGCAGAACCCGTCTAATATTCAACTTATTTGATACTGATTAAAGCGGGTATCATAATAATCGATGATTACTTCGTAGGACCGATATTTAGCAATATCAGTCTCACATTGTGGTTACCTGATACTGATCATGAATTGTTTACCATAGTTACAGAAGGTTTTACAGAAAATTTATGAGTCTAATATTCACAAACGAACAAACTGGAAATAACAAAAGAAATACGCATATGTTATGTTGTAATTTAAAGTAAGTTTCAATTTTGATTTTTACTTTACTTTCTTCGTCTTGTCTTTGGCAAAACTGATCATTTAGATTATAAGAAGTATTTGAAAAGGATGGAATCGAGTCATCGTGATTTATATACAGCTTAAACAACAGATGAAACGTCTGATATTTTTTCTCAATTTGGAAAGCCAAAATAAGCGATCATAACGTCATGGTACGTGCATATTTAGGCACTTCATGTCATTTACTCTAACTAATATTTTTTCGAAGTGATATTGAATGGCCGGCCTCGACAATACAAAGTTTTCAAGACTTCTAAATGAGTATTGTCGAACGTAAAACAAGAAACTATTAGAGAGTACAAAATAAGAAAATGCTGAAGTTTAATTAGATCGATCTATGCCTAATTCAATGCTGAGGTATCCCAAGCCTTGAGTCTACTCTTAGACCAAAGCATTATTCCACAAGATTTAAATTTTATACTTTCCTTATTTTCCGGGTAATTTATATAATTCTAACTGTCTAGCAGACCGCAAACATTTTTATTTCAATGGAGAAATACCTAAAATATCGTGTTTTATAAATATGTTTTGATCAGAGAATTTTTGTTAATTTTGGTCATAATCATGTTTCCGCATTTAGCTAAATTCCTTCAAAGTTTCAAGTTTAAGTTGTTTCATTGTTTACAAAAGCAAGCTGCCTTCCTGGTCCTCAGTATTAAAAGGATATCTTACAAATTTCAGGAGCCTCCGAGTAAATATTGGATCCCTGAACATTTTTAAATAAAACAGTTTATTAATACTTAAATTTCGCAAATCTTTAGCAGGTTATAGACGTTCGAAAGATAAAGTTAAAACATTTTAAAAGCCGCCTGGCGCATAAAGAATAGAAAAGCGCTCCTCCTTTTTTACTCTTGCGCTGAACTCAATTTAATTTAAACTTTAAACTATCTTCTATAGCACTGCGTTGAAGTGCATCATCGCTGTACACTGTCCTTTGATGTGGTCTTTGATCAAAAGGTATTTACAAATCACAATATCTCAAGTCTTTTCAATTTAAAATCAAGATTTTTGCATTCTGACAGACAATAGTTTTTATTAGAGAAAGATCATCTTTTTCATTTCTTTATCGAGCTCAAAACTTACCATCGCTCATATTTCTAAATCTACAAACATTACGCCGTCGACATTGCTGATACTCGGCAGTATGCATGACGCGTATCATATGAACTTAGTAATAGACCTCGCTCACCGTGGAGTCTCTGTAGCTCAGTGGTAGAGCATCCGAGCTCGGAATCTTAAGGTCTGAGGTTCGATTCCTTAAGGGGACTTTTTCTTTGTCCCACGACAAAGTGAAAAACATCTATCTCTATTTCTTTGCCGAGCTCAAAACTTACCAACTTTCTTATTTACAAACAATAGTTTTTATTTTCATTCTAAAAATATCACAAAAAAAGAACTACCCAGGAAATCGGAATAATATAGAATGCAAACGCTCATGATACCTATTTCAGTCTAAAAACAGATATTCAAGCTGAGGCTTATTTTCTATTTTCTTTTTGCTCTCAAGGAGTATGAGAGAGAGAAAAAGAATAAAAATAAAAGGGCGGATGATAAAAGATTAAATTAGAGGTACATTGATCCAATCAAACTTGAGCATTTTGTCATTTTGGAATAGTTCCTTGTTTTCTTTCGCCAGTCTTCTCATGGGAATTTCTAAATTAAAAATTGCATGGTAAAGGCCGGCCATTTAATATCACAGTGAACAGATATTAGTCAAATTAAATATCAGACTGAAGTTCCTAATGTAAGCGTTTCTTGACCAATGATTTCTTATTTTAGTTCTCCAAACAATAGAAAGTATTGGTTGTGTTATCTGACACTAAAATTATCTATAAATCACAATGAACTTGTTAAATACTTGCCATTATTATTTAAATTATATTATTCTTGTTTTCAAATAATTATATTATTATTGTTATAATTATTATCATTATTTTTATGAATAATTATGATTATTATTATTTCATCTTTTTTCATATCTGTTAATAATTCTGCCCCCAGTTTCATTGTTTCTCGTGGTAGACGATGAATAGGCGTGCAAAACGAACTTGAATAAAAACTAAACCTTATATTGAATCACAACATAGGATATCTGTACTTCTCATATCATTTCTATTTTTGTTTGTTTGAATAATATTGATCTCATTAATCTTCTGTATACCTTCTGTAACCAAGATCAATAATGCATGATCAGTCGCAGAAAACAAAAAATATTAGACTGATGCTGTTGAATATCAATTTTATGAGGTAATCATAGATTTGAATGATAGTATTATAATCTATACTAGAGTGATATCGTTAATATCTGTTTATGCGGTAATCATCTCCTATTCTAAAAATTCCCACAGAAAAGTATTAATTAAGATCAATATAGGATTAGCCACTAGAGTAACCATCCCCTGTTTTAATACTCTCGGCTAATTATATATAAACACCCCTGATCCCTGAAGTTCACCGAGTTATCTCTGGTACAGAGACGAAGCTTAATTACTAAGTGAAGACCAAATTCGACCTCGGTAAGTCTTTTGTGATTTTGATAGATACTGAAAAATGGAATGCCGTCCTCGTTACTGATTAAAATCTTTTCACTTTGTCTGCGGGCGCGTTCAGATTTAAAGAAGATGTTTTGTAAACCAACAGTTTAGTCTATTACAATTGTCCTTTCTAAAGCCAGATTGAAACTATGGGAGTAGTCGAGGTTTTTAACTGAAAGAAGACGGCGAACCAAAATAGATTCTAATTTCATTTGTGTAACTCTTGCTGATAGAAGATAAAACTGTTGATTTCTTGAAGGTGTAACAGTCTTAAATTGCTAAAACGGGTGAAAAAGTATCTTGATTCGTGATCACTAATCGTAAATCATATAGCTGATTCTTTTATTGTTAATTTCCAAAAACTTTGTTCGCGGATGGATATATGTTATGGAGATTTTTTCTTCAATCTCATTCGTGAGTTGTCCCAAGATAGATAAATGTAATTTTCTCAAGTTTCAGTTATATTCAGATGATAAAAGTTTTACAGGAAAACAGAAATAGGGAAATAGGGATAGACAGACAGGAATACTCGCTCCACAACAAGAGTGGCTAGTTTCATCAACCAAGTTTGCGGGTGTTCTCTTGATAGTACCCACCACCAACAGACAGTTATTTATCGAATTTTTAACCCAAAAAATAACCATAAAAATCCTTTCGTTTTAGCATTCTTTGCCTGTGACTGGTCTGTCTCAAAGTCCCAATTAATTTTACTATGGAAGTGTTTTATTGTGAAGTTGATTTTCTTTAAAGGAATGTTGCTGTTGCTGTTATTGTTATCGGCCGTTGGAGTAGCAGTGAGCGAACAGTGTGAAGCGGATCGTGAGTATCACTCGGGATGTTAAATTTCGAAACAAAATATAAGCATAAACTGTGCGTCAAAGTAAATTACAAACAGAGAAACACATTAGCATAGGCTTTGTTTGTGAAAGAAAGAGAAACTACATTGTGTGCGTTCCTGTTACCCCCGAAGTCACGGGAGATCAAATCCTGGTATATGAAAACCAGTAGGACTGTTTCTTCCTAATGTTTTCAGGTAGATGCCACAAATCTCAATGCCCAGTGGTTATCCAATTCTTAATTCCTTTAACTTAGTTCTGAATGATAACTTGTAAAGATTACAAATGTTTAACTAAGTTACTCTCCCTTTTCTTACAGTACAAGATGGTGAAGATTTCAGCTACGGAGATACTACCTCACAAGGTAATTCTCCTTTGTCAAAAAAGGAATAAATATGGATCAGTTAGAATTGTACCGCATTACATACTTCCGATCAGAATAGATGTTACTCCACTGGGGTTAACCTAACCCTCCTTCTCCCCCGGTTTTCTGGTGCTAATTTATACCCTCGGGGCAAGGAGAGCGAGGAGTAGGAAAGCAGTTAAGTAACACTTGGAATCTTAAATCACAGCGAGGATTTAAATTCCTTGAATACCTAAATTGTATAATCACTGAAACGTTTCTTTTCTGATGAAAACCTTCAAAATCATGGATCTTTATTTCTCCGCAGCTCCTGGTCCATCAGATTGGTATATAAAATGGGAACGATGTGGTGGTAATCGGCAATCTCCAATCAACATCGACACGACTCGGGTGAGAGAGAGAAAGTACCGAACTCTGAAAATAGAATTCGACAACTCCGGAGGCCTGGTCGCTGGGGACCTGGAAAACAATGGAAACTATCCCACTTTTTCTGTTGATAAGAGCAAAGGAACAGCGAGACTTAAAGGAAGTCGGCTTACAGACACGTACGTACTGAAAGGGTTCCACGTGCACTTCGGATGCGAAAACGATCGGGGATCGGAACACACTCGTAATGGCCGACGTTATTCTGGCGAGGTAATAAGATGCTACACTCGTTTCCTTTCCAAAGGGGAATTTCTTGTGATTTTTTTGTTTCGCGTCTTCCCTCAAATCACACAAAAAATTCACGTTTTGATTTGTGGAAGGGACCAGAGGCCTTTCATTCAGTCCCAATGCTCAGTTTAGATCTCTGTTAAAATTCCAATACTCATTGGCAGAACTTCTGCTTTCCTTCCAGGTTCATTTTCTCTTTGAAGATCCAAGTGGACGATATGTAGTCGTAGCCTTTTGGCTCAGGGTAAAAACTGATCATCACATGATTTATATTTAATTTTGTTTCTAGTCCAGGAACCGTAAAATTGATGGTTGTGAAAGGAAAAGGTGTCGCCCCGGCAAACTGCATCAAAATACAGAAAACCTTCGAATGGAAAATCATTTCTGACTCAGTCTACGTTCGCCAGCCGTAACATGACAAAGCAGAATATTCGCCCATTTACTACTTTAACTTAATTCGGTATCTTGGGGGTTTTTCGAAGGAAGGGCAGTGATACCGTACCCAGCTTTTATTTCCATCTAATATTACATTACGGAACGCCTTTCCGAATATACGAGACGAAAATCTCTTTCTAATTTATGAATGGGAATGGCGGAAAAGAAGGTTTAATAATTTGTAACGTATTTTTTGTAACGCTCTATTTGTATTCATACCTAATTTTCTTGTTCAGCATTCTACTACGAAAGAAAACGTGATTCTAGGAAGGTTTGCAAATCAGCTGGAAAAGATTAAAGAAGTCGGTAAGTGAGTTAAAATGTATACTTCATCCACACCAAAGATTAAATATGTTTTAAAGCTGTTTTGTTAAACACTGTTTCATTTGTTTTCGTAGAAGCTTCTTAAACCAATTTTTCGCGACTTCCAATGTTGCGCTTTGAAAATACGAAAGTAGCCATTTCTTGAATCATGGAAACTCAGTTTTTCAGTTCTCTGCTTTTGAGTTTCGTTGAATGAAAATATTGAAATTAAAAATTGATTCCACAGATCAGTCTACGGAAATAAAGAAGGCGATTGGAATTACTCTGATGGATCTTATACCACACAAAAGTCGGCAACGAAAAACCTTGATATTGGCAGACTATTACTACTACAAAGGCTCCCTAACCACCCCTCCCTGCTGCGAAAATGTGTCATGGTTCATTTTGAAACCAAGAGTTCCTATTACGGACTATGAGGTATTTATGAAACAGCAGAGGCGGACCATAAATTTTTCATAAGGCGGGGGGGGACGTGCAAACTAAGCTTGGAAATATTTCAAATAAACATAAAAGGGCGGGAAAAAGAGAGTGATAAAATCGTGAATAGTAATATGTTAGCTTTCCAACTAATTAGTTGAGAGGAGTATAGATATACAGCTAATGATTGAAACAATGCAATTACAGATGACAAGGAGACTTCCACAAAAGATAAAGAGCTTCTTTGCAGATCGTTTCCATTATATTCTCGTGACCTCATGTCTGATTCAGGGGGAATATTGTAGGGAGAAACTCTTAGGAGTCAAACAAAATCTACAATATTTTCTTTCGAATAGAATGCGATAAATTCAATAAATACACGAGTAAAACAGCTTCATCTGTTTCTCTTTGTTTGTTTCGTTTACAGCTGTCGCAGTTCAGGACGTTGGAGGGCCGTTATCCCAAGGACCCCCCGGCCATGTGTGATAACTACAGACCACTTCAGCCGCGGAATGGCCGCCGAGTTTATTCCGTCACTAACTTGAAGTAATGAAATGAAATTGTAAATTTCATCAGTTGGCGGACTAACTACACAATTTAATAAAGTCAACAAGAATTGGAAAATTACGAGTTATTTGTATTCCATTTTACGTTTTATTCTACTCGTTAAAAGCTGAAGATGAGAAGTTCTCTCCACTCTGCCCTTATCAACTACTCATTGACCCTCATCAACTATACATTGAGCCTCATCACCTTCTCGTTGATCATAAAGCCAAAAGCTCAGTAATTGCAAAGCTTACAGAAAATAAATTTTTTTGTCTGTGTCGTCGTCTCGCGTCACAACTTAGAATTTGCCATCTTGTATTTTGAGATTTTTTGAAAACCTTCGAAATCCAGAAAAACTGCTGACATATTTCAGGAAACCAGTGCGTAAGATAGTCATGGTGAAACATGACATTAAAAAAAGCGGTTGTTATTGCCATTTAAAAGTGAAGAAAAAAAAAACCAAAAAAGCAAAACAAATAAACATAAAAAGGCAAATATCTTTTGTCAGTTATTTCATGCGAGTCTTAATAAAAGTGAGAACAATTTCGGTTTAACGTTCAGTCTAAGTCTTCCCTACGATTCTGATCGACCGCATCTATCGTCCATACAGTAAGTAAGTATATATTTATTTTGTTTTTTGTCATAAGAATATCGCTCTCATTAATTTTCTGTATACCTTCTGTGACCAACAACCTGCAGTATCAAATAACAAATATTGCACTGATACTGCCAAGTATCAGTTTTGTGAGATTATCATCGATTATAATGACACTCTCCCAATAATAAGATAAATATTAGACTGATGCTGTTAAATATCAATTTTATGGGGTAATCATCGCTTATTATGTTACTCCCAATCATCAGTACCAGAGTTGGTTCTTTCTAAAGCCAGATAGAAACTATGAGAGTAGTCTAGATTTCCAACAGAAAGAAGACAGCGACTGAAGGAAAAGTTATATCGTTTCCATACTTCGTTTCTGTAACGAAGAGAGCGAGGAGGAGGCGAGCAGTTACGTTACTCTTTGAAATTTTTAATCGCAGCTGCAGCTAGAATTAAAATTCCATGAATATCAAAAAATTTTAAGAATCTCTGGAACTTACCTCTCCTGAGACCCGTTTCTCAAAGATCTGTTTTCATGCAAGACGGGAATTGAAACATTTTTGAAAATTATACAATAAAACTAGCAGCTAATGAAACAAAATGGACTGGCTAGGGTGACAGAACCTGCCCTTTATTCTTTAAATTTTTATTTTAAGAGATGGCTTTGGGCCCGTCAAGTTACTGGCCAGGACTTTCGAGAAACGGGCCCCTGATAAGAACATTCTACATTAAGGCATTGATATCTATTTCTTTGCATTTCCCAGTCCATTAGATTGGTATAAAAAATGGGATTTATATGGTGGTAATCGCCGATTAACATCGACACGACTTCGGTGACGAACATACAGTCCCTAACTCTCAAAATAGAATTCGACAACCCCGGGGGCCTGGTCTAATGGAACCTGGAAAACAATGGAAACTATCTCAGTTTTCCTATAGATAAGAACAAAGGAACAGCGAGACTTAAAGGGAGTCGGCGTACAGACATCTACAGATTAGTGGAGTTACACTTGCACTTCAGTTGTGAAAATGGCCAGGGATCTGAACACACTCGTCATGGCTAAAGTTATTCTGGCGAGGTGATATGATGCTACAATGTCCTTTTTTCCCAAAAGGGTTTTTTTTCAGTCCATAGGCTTTTAATGGCTTTAAGGTAGCCTTCCCTCGAAACACACAAAAAATTCATTCCTTGACTTGTGGAAGGGTCCAGAGGACTTTTTTTAGTTCCGATACTTAATTTAGATCCTTACTAAATTTAAAATCGTGTACTCATTAGTAAAAAGGAATAGAAATTAATTCCTCAACGTCCTCTTTCCTTCCAGGCTCATATTCTTTTAGAATATAAAAGAGGACGATATGCAGTCGTAGCCTCTTTGTCCAGGGTAATGTTGTTATCATCTTTGATTAATTTTTTTTCCTTAATGTTTTATTATTTGAATTTAATTCGTGAGCACGTGTTTAGGAACTGTCAAATTGGAGGCTGTTAAAGAATAGGTGTCGGCTCAGTTAACTGCATGATCAATCAGGGCATCGGCAGTACATTTGTGCATTAAACTATTGAAATAAACTTAGGAGAACTCATTTAAGAACGTCAAACTGTTTTTTTATTCATCAGAGCCCTTTACAAAAACACACCAAAGGCTGGATTTCATACATAATTGTGTCAATAACAAAATGATCCAATGTCATTGGTTCCCAGCAGCCCTTATCTGTGGCTTAATTCGCTCTCTTAGGTCTAAACTGACCAATTTTACCTGTCGACTACAAGCTCTTGTAGTCGGACAGGCCAAATCGGACAGTTAAAACCTCAGTTGAGCATCCAACGAAGACCAAGCACTTTAAGCTTAGCCAAGGAAATTCGACTATCTACCCTAAGTTCGCCACTCAAAATCAAGAAAAAAGTCTTAAATGAGTAAGTTGACAGGTGTAGATTACGACAGAAAACTTTAGAAAATTGAACTTAGGTTGGTCACTTATAAATAAAAAAACGTATATGAGCTCCTACATTACATTTTTCATTTCTGAGTTTCCCGCATTTCGTTATTGAGACACACTTAATTGGTAATGGGACATCGTGTCACACGATTCAGTTGTAATCGTGTCCGTGATTTCAAACAAACCTCGCGCCACGCACTCGGCAGATTACTTCCTTAATCATTACATTTTTCTCAAATATTATTGATGCAGTATATAGTGGCTGCTTTATTTTTCACTAGTCATTCTGTAGAGTTGTAATCAGACAGTTGGCTGTAATCAGACACCTGTAATCGGACAGTTGAAGCAGCCAATCTTACCTAGTCCTTTCGGTCAAATCCACCAGTCACAGAACTGATCACATTAACCAAAGCAACAACCACTTATCCTAAAAAAGTTTTGAAATTTCCAAAGTTGAGGAATTTTTTTTACTTAGATATTGTCTCTACTGCACATATTTCTCCTAAATGTATTTGTTGTTTTCGGAAATTTTAATAGTTACTATGTGTCGTCCAATTCTGTCTGTAATCATACTTGTGATTGACAAATCGGATTCCCGCTTCGCGGTCGTCAGATTTTGTTAATCACTCGTATGATTACAGACAGAATTGGACTCCACTCAGTCCTATTACCATTATTGATTAGTTAACACGTCATCCCTGTGTAAGTGGATAGAACGCGTCATGTGCATGAAAACGTACAACCCATGTCTAGTTTCTTTTTCAAATTTTGTCATAGTTTTGATGAATTGGTAACAGGACTTCGTGTCGTCCAATTCTGTCTGTAATCGTACGAGTGATTAATAAATCGGACACCCGCTCCGCGGTCGTACGATTTTGTTAATCACTCGTTCGATTACAGACCGAATTGGACTCCTCATGGTCCTGTTACCATTACTTATCAAAACTATGACAAAATTCTTGAATGTGATTGGTCATCACCAGCCCGATTTGAGCGCTAATAGGACAGTGTACGCGTCATGCTTGTAATTGGACAGTGCATGTAATAGGGCAATTGAAGGGACAGTCAACACGTCATCTTTGTGTAACTGGACAGAACGCGTCATGTGCGCACGCTGTTGTCTCGCGTTTCGCCGAGTTAATTGTTGCTTTTCTTTTACGAAAACTTATAACCAATGTCTATTTTCTATCTCAAATTTTGTCATAGTTTTAACACAGTTCTGTTACCAATTAATCAAAACTATGACAGAATTTGAGAAAAGAAGCTAGACAACGGTTATATGTTTTCATAGAAAAACGATAGTCAACTCGGCGAAATGCGCGACAACAGCGCGTGCACATGACGCGAACTGTCCACTTTTGTAAGCATGATGTGTCAACAATCCTATTTCACTGCTCAATCACAAGCATGACGCGTACACTCTCCTATTAATGTTCGAATCGGGCTGGTGATAACCAATGACGTTCGAGAATTTTGTTCTAATTTTTTATAAATAATGGTAATAGGACCAAGTGGAGTGCAATTCGGTCTGTAATACGAGTGAATAACAAAATCGGACGAGTATGATTACAACAGAATTGGACAACACGAAGTCCTATTACCATTATTTATAAAAATTAGAACAAAATTCTCGTCATTCCAGCCCGATTTGAGCACTAATAGGAGAGTGTACGTGTCATGCTCGTGATTAAGCAGTGAAATAGAATTGTTGTCGCATCATGCTTACAAAAGTGGACAGTTCGCGTCATGTGCACGCGCTGTTGTCGCGCATTTCGCCGAGTTAACTATCGTTTTTGTATGAAAACATATAACCATTGTCTAGTTTCTTTCTCAAATTTTGTCATAGTTTTGATTAATTGGTAACAGGACTGTGTGCCGTCCGTGGTACTTTGAAATGGTTAAAGAGATGACTGGAGCACAATTAATAATGATAATAGGACTAAATGGAATTAAAGTCGGTCTGTAATCATACGAGTCATCAAAAAAAAATTGTCATGCACGAGTATGATCACGGACCGAACTAAATTCCAACTAGTCCTGTTATAATTATAAATTGTGCTCCACTCAGTCCAATAACCATTTCAAAGTACCACAGTGCTAAATATCAAGACCTAAAATTAAAATTAATTCATATACAGTTGCTCCTGGTGAAAACTGAATTCTTAAATATTTATATATTCCTCGCTTAAAACAAATTTGTAATTATTCGTGGCAACGATTTTCAAGTATACCTTTTTCTTAAATAACAAACTTTCATTTGCGCCTTCAATTTATCTTTTTTCAAAGCGAGACCAGAACAAGTTTCATACTCTGCTTTCGGTTGTTTAGTCCCTGCTTGAGATAACGGAATACACCTTGCGTTTGTACAGCGGTTGTACCGGTCTAATGTTGTCACACATCAAACCAGGAGCACCACCATGCTTAGCCTTTAATTTCCTGAACTTGTTTAGCTGAGGAAAGAAGAAAAAAAAGGTTTCTTAGTTACCTTTGTCAACAGATAGGGTGCAACAAGCTCCGCTTGCATCTTTGACAATCATGCGGACTACAAACGTTTTCTTTTCGGTGTTTTGATTAGGCCGACATAGAAACTCATAGGAAACTCAGACTTAGTTTATAAAACACAAAAGCTCTCTGAAACAAGACAAAATTACGTGCAATAAACTCGCGGTGGGTTGGAATTTGTTAAATTAGATCTTTAAAACTTTGAACTCTAGCGCGTTCAACTAAACCGGCTCGAAATTAATTTTATCGGTTTTGGATGCTAATATCTTTTTTCTTTCCCTTCGCAATTCCACACCATGCGCGACTAACCTGAGTGTTTGAAATCTTGACTTTGTCCTTGAAAACGATCCAGGTGACAGATTCATAGCAGGGAGGGGTGGTAAGGGAGCCTTTGTAAGTGTAATAACGTATTTTCTTTTTGCTGTCTTCATCGTCATCTTCTCCGCTGTTAGCGACGTCATCATCATCGGTTTCGTCTTCATCATCATCTTCATCTTCGTCGACTTGTTTGTTATTGTAAGGCATAAGGTAATTCAGTTTAATGCCGTCCGCAGCGGTCACATTGGTGCTGGCACCTTGAAATGATCAAGACGATCAAGAAACGTCAGTGGACCATCTAGTAGATTTTAAACTGGAAACTAAGGCTATAAGAATGTTTATCTGCTTATCGAGATAAAATGATTCACTGGTTGATCAAAATAATATTTGTCAAAAGGTCCTTGTGGTATTGCATTGCTTAAGCAATTAAAAGTATTGGAAGACGTCAAAAAAAAAAGACGAGTAATATCTCTAACAGGGGTCATTTCGTAAACTTTAACCTAATCACATTTCATTAATTTTTCCCTCATTTTCCCTCTATTAAAACCAGGTCCCTCTAGTTACCTTCGTCAATCACTTTCTTCAGTTTATTAGCTAAATTTCCTAGAACCTTGTTCCCTGGGCATGTTGCCTGCAAAAACACGAAAAAGCATTGTTAATTTTTCTTAGGAGCGAATACAATATCTACTTTTCGTTTACAAAATGTAAAAGTCCAAATCAATAGTATGTATCAAATAAAGCAACGATCTTCGCGGGTGAGCTGAAATTTTAGGCGCTGCAGTTAAGGAGCTTGGAAAAGATTCAGAAATCTACGGGATTCGAACAGGCCTAACAGATACAGATCGGGCGCCACTACCAACTGAGCACTAAGTCACACGATGGGAGCCTGGTACATTTCAGAGGGTTCCTTCTTTCCCGTGGAGGAATCTGATCATTGTTATTATTAGTACTTTTTTTTTCTAGTGTATGGTTGAAAAATATCTTATGAGTTAATACCGTGAGAAGGACTCCCAAAACTGCTAAACCGTCTGGCTTATCCACGGCGTCCTTGAAGGAGTTGTACTTTTTGTTATAGAAAACCAAATGAAGCTGAAAAAGAACAAAGCAAGAAACATTAAAAGGAAGGATTGGTAAAATGGGAAAAGTGAAAATAAAAATTGATAGCTAGTCTTAATGGCCTTAAAGAACAAATCTTACACTCTCGTTATCAAAAGGCATGAAAATTAATGAGTTTACATTAAGGAGTATACTTTACTTTCTCTCTTGATTACAAAAACTACTACACACCTGAGCTGGAAAAGTCTGGTTGTCAATCAAGTGCTCTGATCCGCGATTGTTTTCGCATCCAAAATGAAAATGGAATTGTTGAAGAGCGTACTCGTCACACTCCAAGGGACCGCCACTGAGTTTAGCGCCCCCCTTTGAGCTGTCGATGTTAAAAACAGGAGAATGGCCGCCATTAAGCAGCTCTCCAGTCACTCGGCCACATGGGTTGTCAAAACTGATTTCGAGATCAGGATAGCTTTTCTTCTTCACTTTCTTTGTCTCAATGTTGACAGGAGACTGAAGTTGCCCTGCGCATTTTGGAAAGATTTGTGACCAGTTTGCTGGGGCTGGAGCTAATGGAAAGAAACACTAGCAGTCAGCGGGTATTCAAAATATACAAATGGGCTGGGGAAAGAAAATATTTCTTGTTTACTATTTTTTTATTGACTGATTGCGATTGACTATAGTTTATTTACGACATCGAATAGATTTGAACTGATATGATTATGTGAGCTATTCAAATTCAAGGCAGCAAAGCTTAGTTTCGTAGGTGGTTAAATGACTTATATCGCAATTTTTTACATAGGGACTGCTCATTGTTCATGAATTAGATTCATGAATTAGATTTAATCTTACCTTTTTGATCAGACAGGTAGGCATAATCTAAACGAGAAAGTGAAGAGAATACAATTAGTAAATTCCTAGAGAAACTACATATCTCAAAGCGACTTAATTTAAATCGTTGTGGATATTGATTCACTGTCACCACTTAATATTGGCTATCACTTTCTATTGCTAATCATCTTTGCAAAAATATATAATTTTAGTTACAATAAACAAAATAGCATCAGAATAAAAACTTCTCAAAAATTATGGTAGGCAACCCACCTTGACACGCGACAGCACCAATCATAGAAATTAGCCACAGAAGATACATCGCTATAACTGGTCTGAAAATAAATATGACCCGATTAGATTAATCAGCATATGAAAAACAAGCTACTTGATATTTTATTACTAGGATAACAATATTGTTCATGGAAAAACACGACCATTTATCCCGATATTGAAGAAACAGCTTTATGACTTAAGGCTCAAAGGCAGAGTGATTTTGTTCGAAGCGTAATTTGACGAAACTTCTAAAAATCTAGGAAGTTGCATGAGGAACTTTCTACAAATCTCTCAGAATTGAAATCACTAAACTGCGCATGCTCAGCTGTCACACTGCCCTGTTGTTAGTAGCAATTTCGTTCCACGATTTCTCACAAGCGATCGATGATGCACTCTTTCTATTTCGAAAAAATCAGAGAAAGCGACAATCTAACTAAATAAAAAAGTATGATTATGAGAGTATTTGTAGGGGTGGAGGGGGTTTCAACTTAATGTCTCACGTGCGTAATATAGGTATGTGCTCTGCTGGCACGTGAGTTGATACGGTAGACATCAGTCTAGCATATGCACGTGCATAATACACAATAATCCTTGTTGCATAATATTTTAGCAACAGGCACGTGAGTTGAAAGGCTCGTAATAATTTGATGTAGAATCCTAGATAATTCCCCAAGAAATGTCGCTTTCAAAATCACATTTTCCAGCAACAGAGTTTACGAAACAAATTTACAATAAAGCTTTGGTGAACCCTTGTTTTACTGCTTATTACAGTAACTTCGAATTTCCTAAGAAAAGATGTTAAATTTTAACCTTTAGAATGTTAAGATTTGATAAAGAAACCTGTTTCAAGAACAAAGGGGGTAAGTTTCCAAAGAAACTGTGGCACTAGATTGGTGGGAGAGTTTAACAGGCTAATTTTGTGTTATCAAATGAGTTGGAAACGTAAATTGGCCACCGTAAAGAGTTTGAAGACTGACGTTTTGAGCGTTAGCCCTTCGTCAGAGCGATGACACTAAATAACACTAAATTACCCTGTTTCGAGAATAGTTTGATTTAATTGTTTACTGAGGCGGACATGGTTTTTTGTAGCCAAGTATTAGTTTAAAATTTTCATTAGTGCTTTTTGGGAATTTTTAAATGTGATCATCGTTCACCTACGTGAAACCAATGACGAGAAAGTTGGAAAATAAAGCCGAATGCGACAACCAATTGTAACCCATGGGAAAAATGCCGATAGGTGTATATTGCTAACATTGCTATCATCATTATAGTTTTTAGACTTCTTCTTGTTTAAGGTGCTAATCTAGAAGTTAAACATCAGAGAAAATTCTGACTGTTGGCAGATTTACAAAAACCGTGCTAGTCTCGAACTCAGTTTGATCCTTAAACATGACCATCTTGAATAAAACTTTTTAAACTTTTGGTGCGGTAACATTATCAGAGTAAGAGATTTATCATATGGCGACTACAGCATTCTTTTAGCTCTAGTTATAAAGTTTTTACCGATGGCATTTAGTTAAATTATCTGAACGTGACGCCAAGCTAATGAAGTTTAGCTATGTATTTTGTTAACACTTAGGCAAAGAAAGAAATGTAAGTAAAATTTATGGACACAGAGAAAATTGATAAAAAAAGAAAGTGTCAATTTAACCATAAAACTACAAAAACTCAAAATCGAAAAAGAAGCTGCCACAACATAAAAAGCCTAAAGTATGAAATTATGTGAGTTGACAGCAAATAAAAACTGAAATTTCTCCACTCACTTGAAATTCTTCGCTTCTGGAAAAGACTTCTCCAATTTCGGATCTGTTTTCTTTGGCTAGTGTCTATGAATGTGCTTTTTGATTTCGTTGCAGCGAAATTTATGGAGTCGAAATCGATCAGTATCATATGCAAAATATCCATAACGTCATTTATCATTGTCAAAATAGTATTGATTCAATATTCCTCACTTGTAGACATAAGAGCTCTCTGTGTCTCTCAGCGGTTACTATAGACAAAAATAAATATAAATATTTACATCAATCAAAAAATCTTTCTTTCACACTGTAGCATGTAAGAATCTTTTAAATTGAACTCCCACGGAATAGCACAGTGAAAAGCTAAACCTCATAAACTTGTGATGTTCAAAGAACACTGCAAAAAGACATTTTAGCGATTCATTTTTTAGCAAAAGAATATAACTGTAATATACTATCAGCAAAGGGAACTTCTGATTGGACAAACATGCAATTTTAACTCTTTATACCTATCGTTTATTCATGTTATCATATTTATAGTCAGTTGCCACGACATGCGTCTGCAGCACGTGATCAAGGCGTGTATGTTTTCCAAGCCATTTAAATTCAGCACGTGCATCTCCCTAGTTTGTTTTTGTTGAAGATTCTTTTGAGCTTTTTTTTTATTGTTGTTGTTAAATTCTTCAAATAAAAATGATAGTTCTAAAAAAATTGATAGTTCAGCTCAATAAGCTCTTACAACGAGCGGAAGGGAAATGGGAAATGTTTACATGATCAATAAAGTACACTTTTCAACCGCAGAATCAATGGTATATTTTTATATTTAGACAAGTTGCAGTACTTGATAAAATATTTTTCTAACTTTTAACGTTAGCTGAGTAAAAACCCACTTGGAGCCCTATGGTGTTCGCTTTTTTGATGGCAAAGAGTTTTCTTAAAATTTTCTGACGCTCTTTTGACTTCGCCAATTTGATCTTTAAGCAAAAGTCAAGAGTAAAGCCTGAGAAAAGACACTTTTCCCGATCGATATGAAATATCTATTTTTATTACGTAAGCTTACATGGGTGAATTATATTGGCAATGTTGATGTTCTTGTTAAAAGGTCAGCAAATTATTTCAATATCAACATTTTCCACTTAAAGTAAACTTTACACGACTTTTAAAGTTGTGGTCGAGTTCCATTTTGTACAAAATTTCTCAGAAAAATCCTGTGTCTTTTAATAGACGGTCTCTCCGTTTCAAAAATTAAGAAAAAAGTAAAACAACTGGAGGAATTTTCTGCATCATCATATCCAGGTAAGTTTAATAATTTTAATAATAGTCTAAAAGGAGGGCCTTAAGTTTTGACTTAAATTCTAGATTGAAGAGAGCATTTTCTTTTTTTTCTGAAGAATGACTAAAACTCGGAGATATCCACTTTTTTTCTCTCACTTAAGGTTTAGCATTCGGATGAGGAAAGCCAATATATCTAGTTCCTTTATCCGTCGCTTTTATGATAAATTTTTTTCATAAAACGATTTAATTATTACACTTATGTTTTTCTTTCGATTCCTTATTGCTGTCACATGGTAGATTTTATTTCCTTAGGTATAGGAGGTGTTTCCAGGAAACTAAATACAAGATTAAATGGTCGGGAACCCATGTACAATCAATAATATCCTAAAGGAAACTATTCACGTCAAAGAAATCTTGATTTCTAATAGTCAGGAAATTAACTCTTAACTGAAACGAAGCAGTTTGGTTAAAGCTTTATTGAGCACCCTGTCGTTGTCAGTACATCCTAAGAGTTTTGCCATCGTTCCAGTGCGCGCTATTCTTCTCCATCTTCTGCTACCTTCGTTCCTCATTTGTTTATCATCATTACGATTTTAAGTCCCTTCACGTTGATAAAATATTGCACATCACGAAAGAATGCTTCTTCAAAGGACCGCTTTTCAGCGCCTCAGACTACCGTTTAAACTTAATGTGCGATATAGCTAACCACCGGAGATGATAATCTATTCGATATGTTCTGTTATACCGCCCGCCCATACCTTATTCTAGATATTGTTCAAGTTGATTCTTTGAGCGCTAAAATTGGTGCCTACGTCTCTCCTAAAGGAACTTCCTTTCTTAAATGTGTATTTTAGCAAGTATATTCTACAGTTTTCTACTGAGTAAAATATCGTTATGTTTATAAACATTATATCTCCATAACAATTCATTTCTATGTGGAAAGCAAGTTTTATGATATTACACGCAACGTATATGACTCAGCCCAAGTAAGATGTCAAGTCACTGAAGAGGTTCCATTCCGTTATAAGTCAAATTTCCAATTTCATTGCAGTTAACTGTCATGTTCTTCGGCTATAAACATTTTAGCGTATTTCTTGGCATCCCGCTAAACCTATTACAAACATTATGACAAGCCTTGCTACTCTTGCCATTATCATTACTATTATTATCATCATTGAAAATGGAAGCGATCTTCGCAGCAATGAGCTCTACTTAAGCAGTAGTGAAAATAAGGCCAAAAAAATAATAAATTCAAGCCTGTACGGGATTTGAATCCTGCGATACCGGTGCAGTGCCCTACCAGCTGAGCTAACAAGCCAAATTTTGGCTCGAAATAAACCCGTGAAGTGATGAATAAATGACTGTATATGCGTATGAAAATCATATATTGTCAGTGTTATCGCTTTTATTATCATTGTTGTTGTTATAACTTCATCGTATAAACACGATCCATAGTTTTCAGATAGTGTTGAATCTTTTTTAATTGTGCTACCGTGGTAATAAACAGCCGTCGTACGTAGCTCATCTTAGACAAGATATAAGTTCCTACGCCAGGACTTGGTTAACTTGGACTTGCATTGAGTTAAAAAATGTAATGAGAGTTCCAGCGACTGCAGATGTCTTTTACACACAGCCGTTAATGATACAAACTGTTGGCTTAAAAACTGTTGACGGAAGCCAGGTGAATGTACACAACGAGATTAGACGGTCATTATTTGAATCCACTGACCGCTGTTCCAATAAAAACAGAGTCCATGGGTTGATCTGTATCAAAGCGCTAATGATAAAACACAAACCAAATAACATTTAGAGAATGTAAAACTGCAGACGGTGTTTATTTAATTACTAGAACAGAGTAGACACGTGTAGTGAAGCAAAGTGGTGTGTTTGAAATGAATGAATGTCCCAAAATTCATAGTTAACTATTGCAGAACAGAGGAGCTTCAGAATACATTATTTGAGGAGGAAACTTTTTCAATTCGAGCAATAATATTGTAAGCCGGCAAGGTCACACAGCTAATGAATTTTATTTTGAGAAAGGATAAATTATCTTTTACAATACTGGGTTAAAACTGCATTTTGCTCCTGTTTTTTTTTTTTTTTTTTTTTTTGCTGCTGGTCTTATTGGCAAAACAAAATGAAAGAGAAGAAGCAAAGATACATTTCAATTATTACACAGTTATTCAATGATGCGCAGCTTCCTAATATTTCATGATCATGACATTGAGTAAAAGGGAACCGTTACAATCATTTCGGCAGCTCACAGTCAAAATGTTGGTCTTATTTTAAGCACAAGCTATTCGTTAAATGATAGCGTTAGTTACTAAATGCGTAAAATTAGAAAAAAAAAAGCATCTCAGGCCCAGAATAGCACGGTGTTGATATGATTACATGTGAGCTTCTCTGCTCTGTGATAAGTCCAGGTCCAAATTCACGCCATGCTGGCAGCCAATCATGCATATATGTATATATGTAGGTTTAGTAGAGTTTAATATTACAAGCGTACAAACTAACGATATCATTGAATGAAACGTTTAATTTGATCGCTCATCTGGTACTTCAGCATTCGTATCTTACAATTTCAACTTCCTTGTGAGCGAAAACAATATTGTTGTGTACTTCAAAGATTGTTCTGTTCTCACGGTGCCATGTTCCAAAATAGCGTCGCCATGGTTCGGCGGTGAGTCCTCTTAATTTAACAAGCTAGCTCCTCAATTTAATATCAAACCCAGGAAACCAACTTCAGCAGACGAAGACCAGGCTTTTAATTCAAAGTAATTCAATAAAAAGTGAAGAAAACGTGATTGGTGGCAAAAAATTGAAAGATATTCACATTAAATAAAATAAATTTCATTGCTCTCTTTTTATACAAAGTTTTTTTTGTGATTCTTAAGCTGTAACAGGAGTAACTGAGTGTGTTTTAAAGGTGAAGAGCCGAAGGGAGTTTGGTATTCATTTCTGAAAAAAAGCAACCTTCGAATGTCATGGTAGGAAGTTCACTATAATTTAGGCAGTTAGTCATTCCATCCACAAGTGACAGATTATAATATTAAGTTGTCATTCTAGGGAAAGCGAAATATGACAGAATGTTAAATTATAATAACAGAATTGAGGAGTCTGTATCTATTCTTAAAGGAGCTCACTCAACGAAGATAGAACGGGATAGGGGATGGGGAGAAATAAAACCATGAATCTTTCTTTCGAATCAGTAACCCAATTGATTCTTTGTTCAGTTGAAGAGACCGAAGAAAGAAGCACTTTGAATAATGCGGAGAAAAAAAAACATTTTTATAGGTGGAAAGTGTTTGGGAAAAAAGTTAAATTGATAAAGTTCAAAATTACCAAATTGATTTAGCATATGGTTGGAAGCACTATGATTAATCTAGAATTATCTATATCTCTAAAGGTATCGGAATGTATTTTCAATATGGAATTGCAATGGATGTATGTGGTGGTGTCCATCCTACATGAAAATTGTGAATACATTTTATGTTGATGAAGTGTTTGTAAATTTAGATGAAAAACCTGCCTTCAGTCACACTGAACTCATCGTAACAAATCCTAAATTTCGTCTGTTGATCCTTGAAAAAGTCAAAATTATAGTTTGCAAGGTCAAATATATGGATTTTATGTTGTTTTTATACCGTTATTTAAATTTCAGTCAGAGTATGGACAGTACAATCATGTATTAACCCGGTGAAAGAAAATTAGGACGACCCAGTTAAGAATGTCAAACTGTTTTTATTTAACAGAATCCTTTGCAAAAGATATCTAACAGCTGAATTCGAATTTCATACAAAAGTAGCGCAGTGCTAAATATAAATAGTTTTAATCAAGCTTGTATGATTTGCTAATGCTAACGGTGAAAAAAAAGTTCTTAAATATTGATAAAATCGTTCTATAATAAAAATTTAGTTTCAGATAAAAAAAAAAAGAAATATTTTAAAATCAGTTACAACAATATTTACACATTTTTCTAAGATAATAAACTATTGTTATTCAATAATCTCCTTTTCGAAGCAAGACCTGCCGTCGGTTGTTCGAAGGAACTAAATAATGCTCTCCAGCGGGTAGAGGTTAACAAAACGTAATTTTAATTTGCTATCCACTGATAGAGATTTATCCATTAGATAGCATTATCTACCCTTCGAACAATCAGGGCCACTACAAGTGTTACTGAGCTGCTGTGGGTGTTTAGTCCCTGCTTGAGACGACAGAATACACCTTGCGTTTGTACAGCGGTTGTACCGGTCGAATGTTGTCACACATCAAACCAGGGGCACCACCGTGCTGAGCCTTCAGTTTCCTGAACTTGTTGAGCTGAGGAAAGAAGAAAAAATATTTTCGCTTTGACCTTTGTCGAACAGAAATAGTACAACAATTTCCTTCTCTACAGTTTTTTTTTTGACGGCTTGGACTACAAACCAAAAAGCAAATGGTTGACTTTTGTGTCTTTGGCCGACATGAAAATGTAGAGGAACTCTTGGGTTTGGCTCGTAAAAGACAAAAGTTGATTGAACAGTTGAAACCAGTCACGGTTACTTGCATAAAACTCGTGGTTGGTTGGAATCCATCAAATTAAATAAAGCAGAAATGAGTCAGCTCCAGAAACCACTACAAGGAATGATAAGAAATTATACATGGCACTTTTCCCATTTTATATTGCTTTTAAAAATCGAGTATGGACGCCACTCTTTTAAATTAGTCTACTTGCATCCCAGCCGTTTTTCTGTAACTAAGCATAGTTTTGTTCTTTTTTCCATTTCTTAGTCATCTTGC